AGTTGATTTTCGTTATTTTCCTCACTAATAACGCCAATATTACTATGTCGCGAACATTTAAGATTGCTGTACGGGAAATAACCCTCTGAATTTTGTGATATGCTAAATCCGAGTTTAGTATTGATTGTGTTTGGGATTTCCACGCACCTGGGAACGTTCTGGCATCAACAGAATGGCAAATAACCTCCAACATTATTATTTTGGCTAGCGTTACAGAAAGACATCAAAACTGTGCGATTCCTGTCTCTAAGCTCAGCTCAACTCAGGTTTTCAAAAAGAGCTGTTTCCCGTTCATAGTCAGCAATTACATAAAGTAACGTTTGGTTTCCCGCACCCATAACAATGGATACGTTTGGGTTGAGCACATGCTCTTGCAACGTGACCAGAATTTTAGCAGTTCCAACATGTTGTCAGCGCTATTTGAGGCATGCCTTATGGAAATTGACTTTTGATATTTTCCCCACTAATGACGTCGTTTGATATTACTGTGTCGTAAACATTTAAGACTGCTATGCGAGAAATGATTTCACATTCACATTTTCACATTACAATGCGAATAAACCAAGTTCAAATATAAACCGCTAAGCATTATTAAATAAGGAAGTAATTAAAGTAGTTAAAAGTTTCATAGAAACATTCGTTTTACGTTAAGGCATACTGCATGGGATTGTGATCAATTTTTATAAAAAGTTGTGAACCATATCACAATGAATGACAGTTCATTATAGCATACTTTCATCCATTATGGCGTACTAGGATAAAAGCAATTGTGGACGTTAAAATGCTAATCACGTAATTGACTCCTGAACATGAGCATCAATCTTTTCCAATATAAATCGAACAGAAACTGTGTAGGGAATTTTGACGCCTTCCCAATCGTACTAAAATATTTTTTGATTGGGCAAATCTTCGCTAAAATTGAAAATTCGACCGATCACGTACTTGATGTTGAAATATGTATACCAAATGCGCCTGGCCTACCCTTTTTCCCGTTTAGAAAGTCGCATTGCAGCATCTACCATAATCGAACGCGCCCTTTTATTCGAATAAGAAATTCAGTTTTCCATAAACTTTCGGAGTCGGACGTGCATGTGCGTGTTATTGTTGTTTGCAAATATCTTTAAGGCACTTTGATCGAATTAGAAGGATGTTATAAAAGGAATGGGCGAAAAGGTTTTACGTCCAGAAAAAAAAGGAAAGCGTTTCGGATTGATCGATTGGTTTTAGGAGTAGTGCGTCGATTTAAACGTTACGAATCATTTTCAAGACCGTGTCTGGACGCATTTTTCACGTAACCCGTAGATTGTTTCGGGACCGTGTGTGATTAATGATTAAACCTATGGAAACCAATCTCGATGAAGCTAAACGGAACCGAAATTTTTGGGGTCGCGTATTGTTTAACGTTCGGAACGTGAACGAAATGTGATTAGATCTCGAAAACATTACGGCGAGATAATATGCTTGAATGAGAAAATGGGGGGGCTTTGAAAGGGGCCTGTCAGAAGCTTTTAAAAAGATACAACTTCGCGATTATGCGTTACGAATTTTATTTCGCCAGAAATTTACCTTCTGATAAAGTTCGAGGAAGATAAGAAATGCGTTTATGTAAAAATGGCTAGGGGAGAGAATTTTTCGTTTCTAGTTTGGCGCGTTGGGCGTATGAAAAGTTACAAATTGCTTCACCTTGTTTTATCGTAATTCAGATCTTCGACATAGAAAATGCCAAGCGTTTAACAGAGTTCACTCCTGTGAAAATGCTTGCGAGACCCGTTTGGAGTGCTGCCAGCGGACTTGTTGATGTGTTCCAGCTCAGCAGTTCGCACACAATATGTAAGTATCTGGTGATTATATACCGTAACGTTTATTTTATTCGTGGACATTGCGGAATGGGATGGAAAATGTGTACAAAAGCATGGCCGCAATATTGTAATTATGTTTACTTTTCCCATGGGGGGAATGAAAAAATTCACTCACCTTATCATTTTTTAGTAGGTGGATAAAGGGTGTGTCCTTGGCAAGGGCAACATACAAATGACTCTGTCTGCATTCTTTATAGCTATACCTTAGAATGAATACGATGTTTTAGAAAGACCTTTATATACAGGGTGGCGCATATGTCCGTTACCCTTATGTAAACTGGAGTGGTAACATTTCAAACTGTTACAGGCTAGCAAAATAAAAAATGATTAGACAAGAGTGTGAACTCACATTATTCCTTATTACGTTAAAAGTGTTACCATCCTAACATCCGACTACGTGGGGAAATTAACATCTACGCTATCCTGAATTCAGGGTTCTTTAAAACTCTCAAACACATAATTATTATGTACAAGTGATAAACTTTAGAAGTTCATGATTGTCCAAGACTAGAATAAAAAATACGTTAGGAATGTTAACGTATGGCTTAGTTCGCCCCTTCAGACATTTTTGTTAAAACAATTTGTAAGGACAAAGGTGGAAATTCATCCCGAGACCCAAAATGTCCCACTGGCAATCAATCAATACATCTATCTATCTATAAATTGTTTTCATTTATCGACCGTTAAAAAGGGCGAAATTCGCTCCTAACTTTATCGGTCACAAAAAAATTTTTCAAATTCCCATGCTAAAACACACCCAAAGTAGACATCCCAAAACTCGAGGAAATGTAGAAACCCGTCTAAACTAAATTGCGGATCCACAAAATATAGGTTCAATCTCCAGAATAATTATACTTAGAAAGTGCAATTTGAAAACCTTATGTTGAACGCACCGAATTAAGACGTGCTTGTACTAGAATGCCGGAAGAGGAAATTGAAAAGCAAAGAATGCCCTTTGACGCTTGCGTGGAAGAATTCACCGACAGGTGACGCCATAACGCAGTGACAGTTACAATTGAGAAATATCAAACAATAAAAGCAATGAGAAAATAAACTGTTGCACCGAGTATCAGAGGTAAAAAATAAACTATAGTTTTATTGTTACTAATAAAAGTATCACATACATCCCCAACGGGAAAACTCTTAACAAGTGTATCATCCTAGAACTTTCCGGAAAAGATAGTCGTAAATATTTCTTCTGTCACTTGGAATCGCTAGCCCTTTAAAATCTCTGCTTTCCCTGTGTATAGTTGGAGTTGACGAATACAAGTAAATTTTCCTGCGGCAGTATGTCTCTTGAAGCTTTAGACAGTACCTCATTGGTTCTAGGACCCAGACTATTTTGCAGAATTGATTGGATTACAGGTGTAAATAAACTACAAACAACGATGGTATCATTTTGGACTAACTATTGCTATAGAAGTCCTGGATCGTGATAAATTTTGTATTAAATGAAAGCGATCTAAAGAGTAAAATGCCTTAAATAAATTTAATATTTTTCACTGTAAATCACTTTCTACGAAAACTAGTGTAACAATACGAGCACTTTACTCATTTGCGTTGGTAGCACCCTCTCCCAACGTTTCCATTTAGTTAACAACTTATAATTGGAGGAGTTATTTCCGAAATTACAGTTTAGTAAGCAATTAATGTACAAAGTGGAAACTTGTTTATTAATTAATTATAGTAACAGTTGCCAATACCTAACATTAGCAAAAAATCTCACAATCGCTTTGTTTGTCGACTATATATGTATATCTCTGTTCCTCTCGAGCGGTTCAGTTGGGAATTTTCTGAAATCTTTATTAAATAGATCGGAAATGGTTCTTTTATATCTACGCCCATTTTTTCGGACTTGCTTTCTGCGATATTCGATCGAGATTATTACGAAACGGGTTGAGTTTTGCACAATCTGATTTTAGTGCACCATTACTGTACTTAACATGAACCAAAAATAAGAAGCTCAACTGAATTCTTTATTTTAGTATTCCAAGTCACCATTTCTTGGTAAATGAGTTAGTATGGTCCCTGAAGGGTTTTCAAAGATTAAGTTTTTAGTTGAAAAATTTCTTTATGACCTCATTATTTTAGGGAGGTCATAGAAACATTTCGAGGAAATGAACTGGATTTTAAAGATTGTTGAAAATTTAAGGCTTCTCCCGAAATTTTTTTGTTGAAACTTACCACATCACCCTGTGTACAAACCAGAGAGTATCACTACCAAGGTGCGACCAAGTCTAAATCGATGTTTAGCGAAGAAGTCCAATTTTCCCGAACTTATTCCTGGCACTCTAGCGTTATAGAGAAAAGCCAGTCACTGCTACGTCTGATATTGAGAAAGCATTTCTGATGATTGGAGTTTAATGAAGAAGATCAAAACTCTCTACGGTTTCTCTGATGAGAAGATTCCACATATTCAAATACCAAATGTCATCGACAAAATCGTATGGTTTTAGAACGAGCAGAAATTGTTTATCAACTGAAACAGTCTGTTTGGTTAAACAGAACGGGACTGTATACAAAAGGTCAGTTAAAAAAAAACAGGTCTGTTCATTAAAATCAGATCTGTTCACCAGAAGCGCAAGGCCTGTCCACTAGAGATAGGGTCCGTTAAACAGGATCCTTTAACCGACCTGATACAGACCCGTTAACAAACATTTTCTGCTCGTCCTCCGGGGCGCCCTAGTACTCCGAAACGTCTCATACAAACACCTGCGCACCTCAATGCACGCAAATCTGGCTCGTCATGAGACTGTCTGGCCCAGGTGGCCCCTATACTACTTAAGTTCTGTTCGATGTCGCCTTTTCTGTATCTATAGTCCGTTTTTAAACTAAGAGGAGTGATTTAAATAGCTCCCGCGAAAAATCTGCATTGTGATTGGCTTATACGGCGCCGTTTTTACACAGACGCAATTTGAGGATCTTGACAATTCAGTTGACATCTTTATTCGCTGTGTCATTTACAATTGTGTTATTCGTAGTTTATTTAATTTTGCCCTTTTCGTGTGTTTTAACTCTTGTTCAAATTTCAATTAAACAGTCAGTTCTTATTAGAACTAAACCGGGTACCTGTACTTGATTTTGTTGGTGCAAATACTTCGAAATATGTCTTCCACGCCAAGTACTTAGTAAAGCAACATTTCACCTGTAAAAAAGCGTACGCGTCTTAATTTGGGGCATTTATCGATCTCAGAAAAGCAGTTCATACTCGACTTATATAAACAGATGTTAAATGATGACCCTGGCACAAAGATGGTTACCATTGTTGCAAAAATTGATGAAGGCGCAGGTAAGAAACGAAATACAAATTAAATGTTAATTTAACACACACACTTTTTTATATAGGAATTGCAAAATCCACGGTTGACCGAACAATAAAGGAGTATAAGAAAACGGGAGCTGTAACACCTTCTAAACGTTCGGGGGGTCGCCCACCTTTGGTATCGCAATTTGACGAAAGCATAAAATCATCAGTTCGTCAAATTATTCACAACTTTTTCTACCTCAATGAACTTCCCACGTTGGACAAAATCAATAGTCGTGAAGAATGTGTCCTTCATCTACTTGAACGTGACGACATAATAAGATGGAGACGAAAGCATTTAAAATCTATTAAACAATATAGGAACCAAGGACGAGTCATATATTACTTAGATGAAACATGGTTAAATGAAGGCCATACAAAACAGTGTGGGCTGATGATAACGTTCGTACTCGACGACAAGCGTTTGAGGAAGGATTGTCTACCGGTTTAAAAAATCCTTCTGGAAAAGGGAAACGTCTCATTATTTTACATGTTGGCTCTGAAAACAGTTTCGTAAACGAGGGTCTACTACTTTTTGAAGAAAGAAAAACATCCATTATCACGAAGAAATGAATGCGGAAGTGTCTGAAGAATGGTTTGCATCTTTCTTAGTGAAAATTCCTGAAAATGCTGTAACTTTACAATATATTGTAGCTAGCACCTTTTGATTTTATAAAATGATTGCATTTATGTCTACATAATAATTAAAATTTCTTGTCAACCAAATTGTGTAGGGTAAAGTGTATTAAAAAGCCATAAAAATGATCAACACTGCATTTTTTTATAATGTATGCCTTATGTAGTAGGCAACCCATAATGCACATGTGTACGTATGTATCATACTTAAAACAATTGCCCAAAAGTTACTAAATTTAGTAACTTTTTCGGATGTAAATCAGACTTTTCAATTTACTCCTCTTAGTTTAAAAACAGAGTATAGGTTTCCTTACTACAAATACTACTTTCTTATGGGCGCCATATTGGATTTGTATGTTTATTTTTGATAGAGGACAAAAAAGGGAAATATGGCTGGTCACACTAATACTTTTAGATAAATAATTTCACTCAATAACTTCGCTAAAAATTCCATTTCAGCGCACCAAAAATGGTACGCAATGGTTCGCGAAAATCAACTTAGAATGAATTTTCCATGATAGAAAAATTCATGCACAAACAGTGTATCTACATGATCACTCGAGAAACCCAGCTTAGAATTTGCCCCTCTCTCACTTCTCTGAGTATTTAAATCTCTCCGCTAGAACCCAGGTTAGAACCTCCCTAAAACAGGACCTATTTTCTGAAGGAAACAATTTCGACTCGCGTACTTTAAACGAGGGGAACTCGCATTTCTATCACGTGCTCAGCTGTTCATAGAAGAGCGAAACTTAAGTCCGAAGAAATCGTGGCAATGCCCTCGATTTCCGGAATACATTTCTTGTTATCGCTGGACATACTTCCGTTCACGTTCGCCATGAAGCGGTACATGTGTAAATTTGCTATACTAAACAAATTCGAAAAAATACTTTTTTAATTCTCAAGCGACCACCCGTTACAAAGTCTATGAAATATGCCTTGATGTGGTCAATATTAACAGAATTCACAAGCTGCAAAACTTTTGCTTAAGGTTAATATTTGGAATTAGAAGACGAAGACGTAGTAGTCATAAATTGGTTGAGCTCAGATGGTTAAATATGAAAAATCGTTTCCTCTTGAATGCAGCCTTATTTCATAGTATCATAAATCATAATAAATGAAACACAGACTTGTATGTGAAAATTAAATTTCGAGCAGACGTGCACAATCTTAATTTGAGCTTCAAGGGATTGTTAATGTTGTATAATGATTTAAATCCACTATTCACAAAGATCTGCTTAGGGTTCAAACAAATACGTAGGTAAGTGATCCATTTCCAAATATTTATACCTGTAAGATTACCTTACACCTAATTTGAGGCAATTTATATTTATTCTTTTTTTCTTTGTAATTTTTTTTTGTGGATCAGAATTCAACATATCAAGGTTAAAAGAACAGATGGCGTTATTTTATTGTTAAGCTGAACTTCGCCTTGCACTAATTTTTTCTTCTTGTTCATTTTTGTTGGAAAAACAATCTTATATTTTCCTTCATTCGGTTTACCAAAATCGCATAACCGTTTTCCATTTCCTAACCCCCTATTCCTCGTCTTGGTCATCAGCGAGTGAATTGTTTGTTCCCTTTAGGTACCTGATTCTTGGTGTTGTCTTGTGAAATAATGTGCATAAAATGTACTTATTCAGCATCGGGATAATGTGTTTCACAGCTTTCACATCAATTTTTATTATCATTTGTAGAGAATTTTCGATTGTACTGGATCTTTTATAATAACCTCCCAATTATTGAAAAGAAAGAAAGAGAATAACTAGAACCATTTCGAAATATTCAAAAATTTTCAAAAAAAATATAACAATAAAACATATGAATATTGCACATCACAATACGCGTATTCACAGTTCCCTACCGATTTCCAAAATAAAAAAGTACTCGTTCCATTTAAAAAAATTGGGTGGCAATTGGTTTTGTGATTTTTATGAACACCAATGAATATCTCCTCGTCTTATTTTTATATTCAATATGGCGCTTAATGTGGGTGTAACAATGCCTTTAGAATGATAACAGACAAAATCTGGAGTCATTAGGACGTTTTTGGTGAGAGATATTTTTTTCGTGAAGCGTCATTTTTGTTCACTGAAACAAACAAAAATTTTTAAGCTGATGACTAACTTCAACCTCAAGTGTGATATCAAAACTATGAAGAATCCAACATTGTAGTAAAAGAAAATAGGTTTTGTCATGTGAAAAATCCATGTTTAATGTCTACTTCCAATGGGCTACTTGCAAGGTTTCGTTATTAGCCAAAAATTTGCACAGGTGGCAAGTACTATATACGCCATACATGAGGCGAATACTAATTTTTGAAAATGATCATTTGTTTTTAAACAAATAGTAAAAACAATTACTGGGAATCCCTTTAAATATGACGTCAGCTGCAAACGCCCTGCCATTGGTGCGACGTCACAACTGTGGTCGCCATATTTGTTTACATTCTTGTGTTCGTAGATCCAGGTTTGTAGAGGTCCGCCAGGTCAAGTTTGTTTTGTGTCTTGTGCGCAAAAAACGATAAAGGGTGCATGTGTGTGTGTGGGTGGGGACATGATAGAGAAAGTTCAAAAAAATTAGTACGAATAGTGTATTTTTAGGTGGACTAAAAATTTTCCACATTTATAATCTCTTCAGGCAGCCCTTCACGTACGGACTTCGCTTCGAGCTTTGCCTGTACGAACATTGCCCAACATGAATTCATGCAAAGCTCGAACGTGAATAAGGGACCAGACGAGCAGCACTTTGTTTTGTTGCAACTTGGGTCGTGTTGACGTTTTCGAATCTGTCGGAAAACTTGGCGCGGCGCGAAGCTATGCGCGCTAAAGTTGCAATGTGTAGTTTGATTACGAGCATGAATACAAGGTTCGAAATAAGACAATATATTCATTATATTGGATGGAATGAGACATTAAAACTTTCAATGCCACTTTCAGAAAAATGTATTGTAGGCATTTTAACGAATTTAATTTCAACAATTAAGTAGGTATATATTTAATGTCAGCA